TGGATTTTAATAAGGTTTTGTTTATTTTAGAAATGTCATTTTGTTAACTGTTATACTTTGCGTTTTTGCCTTTCTTCTCATCTGTGATCACTAAGAGTTTCTCATGCACCATGAGCAGTACTGCCCTTCCACAACACCCTTGGAGAAGAGTAGCTGAAATAAAAAGTTGTGATTATGCTTTGGCCATGTTTCCTTCGCTGTCTTGTATCGTTTGAAGGTTTTATTAATCTCTTTAGGACATTCCGTACAAAATCCAAACAAAAATTCCATACAAAAGCCACAGGAATGAAAACAAGATTTACTAAGAAAGGAGACAGAACCGAGAAATGGACTGTGTAACAGGTCTGAGCTGAAATGTTGCTAAAGCCTGTTTTGTTTGGTCTCCTTCATGTCATCAGAAGAAAGTAATCTATCTTACACCCCTGTAAATTTCATCCTCTGATTGAACTTGCCTGTCTCCCCTCTGACTGCCTCTGGTAATTACCAAATCCAGGAGAGTTTCTGGTATCAGATATCTCCTTTTGAGGGTGCTTTTGCTGTGTGTTTGCAGCTGCCTTTGCTCTTCCTTCTCATCCGGGCAAGTGCCGACAAGCCGTAGCCCCTGTGTTAGCCCTGCCTGCTGCGGGGGACTTCTGCGGAAGGACAGTCATGGAGATGCGCAGCCTTCTCCAGCTGCAGCCCATAGGACATCTGAAATCGTAGCGCAGGCGTCAAGTCAGTCCAGAGTAGTGCTTACTGCCTGGCATTGAACTATTTAATTATTTATCTTCCATATAGCTTTAAGTTCTGTTGAAAGTGTTATACAAATGTCGCTGCTCATCCTTTTTCCATATCTTATTTTTGAACAAGCAGATCACAGCTCAAGTCTGTCTACCCTTTCTCCTAAATTATTGACCGTGACTTTACATAGTAAATTGCACTGGCTACAAATGTTTGCTGGAACACAGTTCATGACAGAGTTTAAAGAGACAGAGCTTACATATCATTTTCTCAGTCAGTAAACAACTGATGTTAATTTTGGCATTTCTCAGCTTCCAAGTGCTTAGTTTTGATAAGATGCTGTTCTTTTCTATAGTTACAGTCCATTTAAGTAATTTTCTTATTTAAAAAAAAAAAAAAAGGCAGGAAAACTTGCACTGAAAATTAAATTACATCCTGCAAAGTCCTACTGACCCTCCCTTTCTCTGGAAGATTCCCACTTATGAGTCTTGCAAGCCTTGGAAACTAGCTGAACAGCATCCTCCGCCGTCACATCTGCCAAGCGGCACCGGCCATTGCAGCTGGATGATACGCAGCTCTGCCATGTCCATGCGAGAAGGAGTGTGCGGCTGGGGTGAAGGACAGGGACTCCTCCGCAGGGATGGCAGGTGCACCGTTGGGTTGGTGGCAAGGGTTAGGAGGGAAAGGAATGTACTCAGTGAAAATCTGCACTATGTTGTGTTTAGGTCAGTTGAGGAATTATCAAATCTGGGCATTTTTTTAATACAGACAGTAAAAAGGAAATACCAGAGACCTTGCTGTTTTGCTTCTAGACCTTCTTAATGACATGCTTGGGGAAAAAATAAGTTAAGCATGGACGTAATTTTTTTTAACCTTGTTCTAGTGAATACTATCAATGAATAAAAAAACTGGGCCTTGAGCAGATGCTTGGAGTTCAAATTGTGCTGAAATTTGAGTTTAGCCAAAGTACAAAGGGCTGTAAACAGGCTCTTGCAGTAGAATTTTTAGGCAACTTGTTCACAAGTTGTAGGTCTTGGATTTAGTCATTTAGAAGTAGCTTCAGAGTCATGCTTTCGCTTTCCTGGTATTACAGTTTTTCTTATTTTTTCTGATTTCATTGTGTTGTTTTGTCCTCATAAACACTCCTAAACTGTTTGTATCACCTCATCTGTAACCATTTCTTAGGCTTATTTAATCTTTTTAAAGAAATCTCTGCCTTCCAAGAAGACAGAGAAGATAACCAGCTAAATATATGTAACACATAACGTAAGTAAAGTTTATTGATGCTTGGAGAATTGTCCTGTAAATCTCAGTCAAAATGGTTGTGATTATAGTTAAAACTGGTAAGGCTGCATCATTGCCTTATTTAATGGCTTTACTAGAGCACAGTTTTCTCCCACTTTCCCTGTATTGTATGGTCATTAATGAATCATTATCTATTGCTAGTAAGTACTGATCTCCTGAGAGTATTGGTTTAATTATATAGGAATTGCAAGTGAAAGATACAGTTACATATTCTACAATGTAGGTAGTAGTACCTTGGTGTATTGTGGCTTTAAAGAATCTGGGTGGGTTTTTTTAGATTTTAATTGCTAAGTATGCCTGGTAAAATATGAATTATTGTATTACTGCATGTGATAAAAGGTATACTATTGTGAGCCTTGCAGTCTGCAGGTGTAACAGATGTAAGGCAAGATTAACAGGACAGAACAATAATTAAACCACAGACAGCCATCTGAAAAAAAAAAAAGGTTTATCATGTCCAATACAATTATTAAGTGTCTTAAATTCTCTGCAAATATTTGTAAAAGCAATAAAAATTTGTTGGTTTGAAAGACAGCTTTTCAGTGCGGACACTTACTTGAAAGAATGAAGATCCCATTTTATGAATATAAAAGCTGAGTGAAGTCCTGCCATGTGGCAGCATGGTTCATAGGTAGTAGGGTCCTTGGTTTATAGAGGCTGTGAGCTAAATGTTGCCGAAGAAAAGAAGAGAGCAGTTAGTATATATGCATTCACAACAGCATGAATTGCTTATTCGCTTTAAGACCGGAAGGTTCAAATAATTAACGGTAATATTGTGGTTGTAAAAGGAAGTCCAGTTGTTCTTCAGCAGTCTACATCTGTGAAACGTGATACCTCTGGGGACTGAGATTTAATTTTCCCAGGAGAAAATATAAAAGCAGGAGGAAAAAAGGAATGACTTCTGCTTGAGCAGAATAAACCTTCATCTACAAACGATTAACACTGCATAATGAAGTAGTAGAGAAGCAAAAGAGATTTCTAATAAAAGACTAATAACAAATCCCATTACACTATGGTGTATTTTTTCCCTTGAAGTGTATTAGACTTTTAGCAAGGCTTCTGAATGAGATTTGGGTAGTTGCGAGCAAAGTCAGCTCAAATGCTTCAAGCTTAGCTGAAATTTCTCGCCTAACAGTCTGTGTAACTTAAAAGTTGCAGTATTACAGGTGGGAGGGGTTGTTAATGCAAGTGATAGGCTTCACACAGAGACTGGGTAATGTTTGTGTCACCGTAGGATAATGGTCTCCTGTAGGCTAGGCACGGCAGGGTAATGTGCCGCTCTATGGTGAAATCCCTTAGACAGAGCAGACGTGGTGGTAAATGCAGTAGCTAAGCCTTGCTTTTGTGTTCTTCTGACTTTCTGAGGCCCGAAAATAAGTCCTCATGGGAAAGGGGTTTGATCAGAGAGGCAAATACAGCTAATATTGTGACTTTTATAATTACTACGCTAACATAAGAAGTTACAAGACCTTAGATTGTAAATGTTTGATGTAAGGATGAGATGATGCTGTCTTTTGAAATCGTGTATTTTCACTTTTAGAAGGGAACATGTCTTGCAAGGGAAAAGCCTCTGTGCAGCAATCTCTAGATCTGTAGCATGGATGTCTTTGCGGATTATGCATATGGTTCCAGTGCCGAGGAGGATAAAAGTTGAAGTGAACAAAACCTTGACTCACAAAACAGTCTGGCTGAATTTCTTTTATAAGAGAGAGTCTTCTTGCGCCGATTATTGCTATCTTCAAGGCTTGTGTTCGACTGACGTGTTGGAATTCATTTGTCTGGAAATTAACTTTTATTACTGTAATCAGGAAAAAAAGAAGCAAATGCCTTAAACCAACAATGAGTTCTGGGATAAAAGTGGTTAAACATGAATTCTTGCAAGTGAAACTAATCTTGATGAAATTTCTAGTTGCCTTTTTAGAATTTTTTGTGAGTTTTAAAGAATGACTTAATTTTCTTAGCAGAAATTTGCAATCAATCTTTTCTTGCCACTGCATAAACAGATTCCACATGCGTAGTAATTTGCATATCCCAGCTAAAAATGTAATTCATTATTTTTATGTCCATTTTGTAATAACTATTTCAGGATTAATGTTATTAACTATTCTTTAGTTCTTTCAAATGTAACCTTAGATAATCCTGCCTAAAAAGGTACAAAGCTAGAGGGTCTGTTCTGCAATAGGAAAGGAAAGGGCCTTTCCGGAGGTCAGCAAGTAAATCAGTGTAAGAGCCAGAACTGGAAATAAGAAATCTTTAGAAATAATTTTCTTCTACTGCATCTCAAGCTTCCAGCCTCAAGCAAATATTGCATTTAATAAGACAGATTTTCACATTTTGGTAGGTATGAAAATAGCACAGATATGAACAGGAATTAACGATATAGTCTCCATGCAGATTATCAGTAAATCTGGTAAAGATTCAAATTAGGTTTAATCAAAATAGCATCCATAGCATATTTTACATGGAGCTGCAAACACTGTCATCAATAGCAGGGAGGAAGCCTCTTCAAAGTAAGTGTGACCTCGTCCATTTTAACTTCTGTTTGTCATCTGCTTCTGGACTGGCTTTCACTTGACTGGGCTTTCCAGGGCTTCTCATAAAACACTGCCTTCACCTCCTGTTTCTGCAATCCCAAGCTGTTCTTGTGGAATATTTTCTCCTTTTCATCTTAGATCACTATCACATTAAATGCTCAAAAATATGGTATATAGGATTGATATGTTTTGTCCTTTGAGGTTCACCCACATAAGAAGTCAGTTAAGCTTCTACAGTTTGTACTGTGTCACTTCTTTAATGTAGATACAGTAACATTTCCACAAATACAATTAGTTAAGTGGTTATCACAGATCTTCACGCTTTGCAAAACTTTTTAGTAAAATGTTTTGCGTTATAGTTGATCCTGGTGTATCTATCCTGACTTTACCATACTTGGCAAAATGGAGAAATAAAAATCACATCTTTTCCTTTTTTTTCAGGCGATGGGTAAGGCTTCTGTTTGGCCGTGAATTCCCACTCCAGGACCTTCTGGTTGTCTGGGATGCCCTGTTTGCTGACAGTATCACCCTGAATTTAGTTGACTACATTTTTGTAGCCATGTTGTTATATATTAGAGATGCCTGTAAGTATCAACTGTCTTACGATCTTTTTAAAAGAATGCAAACCTATTTTTCAAAGAAAAAGAGGACTGAACAAATGCTAAATTTTATTGTGACTTTTTTAACATATAGAAAATCATTTAAAATGCTAGGAAAGGAGCCGTTTGTTATTGCATGTGGTCTGCTGTGTTTATGAAACAATTTGTATCTTGGAGTTAAATGCAGGTTTGTTTTCCAAGTAGTTCTGTGGTTTTAGATGGAGTTGCAGGTTTTATGTGCAGTTGGGTGGTACAGGTATGTATAGAGCTCCACCTTCTGACCAAGCTGACGAATTGAGTAAAGCCCCCCTTTGACACGAAATATTTTTATGCTGTTCTACTGTGAGAAATGTGAAAATGCACAAGACAATGACTCATAATTTTCGAAGATATATCTTGAAGGAAATGTAAATGCAGAGATGAATAACAATTGCACAATAGGTTTGTTCTATGCAATAGGGGCATCTTTAAAAAATGATCATTTGATTTTATTTTTTAGTACGCCTGAAATATGTGCAAAGATGAATTCTTATGGGTTAGTGATGACCGATAAATACATTAAGTTGGGACAAACAAGAAATCACAATAATGTTGTTAGTTTGTATAATTGTGAATGGGAGGAAGAAGACACGTAATGATTGAGGCATCTCTTTCAGTCCCATCATAATTTGCGAAAAATTGTGTATACAACTTTGCCGCAACAAAGTATGCTTTTTGCAGCAAGATGCATGTCTGTCATTAAATATATTAATTCCATAGCATGCTGTTCAGAGTTAATTATGTACAATCTGTAAGCTTTAGGTTATAACAAGGTCACGTATTTGACACAATTTTGTGTTCTAGGATACATGAAGTTTTCAACATCTGTGGTTCCTATTTTAGGGCCCAATCTTGAAAATATAACGTGTATGTACTTTACACATACTGTCGTTCCACTGCCTGCCTTCGTTTTTTAATTACTTTTTAACAAACATGCAGCCAATAGAGCTACCTTACATTCCTCTCAAAGAAGTGGACATTTATATCAGTTTAGAGGTTTCAAAATTAATGCTTCTGTTTCAGGATGATCTGATTCCAGGTCATTATGTTCTGCAGTCTAAATCTGGCTTGTTTATGTACAGTAAACCGAAATAATCTTAAAAAATTTGGTATAGATAGGTAGTGCAGGTGCATGTAAAAATGTTTCTTAACATCAGTATTTTATTCTTTGTCATCGTTTCCATTTAAAAAAAAAATACTTTAGAACTGTGTTTGTAAGCACCCTCTCTCTCCTGGGGTAGGGAAGGTTGTTCTGGGTTTGTTTTCTTTTTCTTTGTGGTGCTTACATACAAGTATCGGTATGAGGTAACTAAAACTGTGATCTAAAAATGAGTTCTAGGCATCTGTATGAAATTTGTCTCCCTCTTTTCTCTGAAATCTCCAGGCTTAGTAAATAAAGTAGTAAATAATAGCTTTAAAGTGGAGTACATTTGCCCAAACGAGATGCAAAGTCATCTCACCAGGACAGCTAATAACGTCATACATACACTGGTTCTGTAAGAAGTAACATTTTGTTCTATAGTTGGACTTAATTAGTTGCTCTAATCCTAATAGAATGAGGGAACAAAATACCTAGTCATAAATACTGTCAAGTTGAATAGATTTTCAAAGTCAAACTCAAACTATAGAAGTTTCCACACTTCTTGATTTGATTAAAAAAAAGCTTTTCTTAGATGTCTGTAATAGAAAAGTTTTCCATTTTTCCTTATTTTTTTATTGCTGATAATATTTGAGCTTGGAATGGAGTTTGAATTTCTGTTGTAATATTTTTAAAAACATTTCCAAATAAGTTTCTAAAAGCTTCTCTTGATTTGGTGAAATGAAATATTACCTCAAAACACCCGATGATGTTAATCATCTGTAAACAAATTGGAAATTTTCAGTTTAAAAACTGAAACAATAGGAATAATAATCAAGCTCCTAAGATACTGTGTTATAAAAATGTCAAGGATAAGCAACGATAATAATACATTAGTGAAAGCATTTGAAAGTTGAAAAATTATGCAGATTCTTTTATACCAACACATTTGGGGATGGGGGAGAAGTTGCTGTTTTGGGAATTGATGGATTTTCTTCTGTGTTTTATTATGATGTTCTCAAGGACATAATTTTACGAAAGTAGTATTTGTGCCTTTTTTTTTTTAAATCCTCTGTTACTCAAAGGGTATATTATTCAAAGAGAAGGGAGCATTTAGACTATTAGATTATTGTTTATACATTTTAGAGATTACAGATACATGATCATGTACACAGCCATTCTGTAAACTGCTCTATTCAGTTTTACATCTGTATCCAAGCAGAACTTTATCCGTGGAGTGATAATCCTCACAAACAAAGTGCAGGGTTGAGTACTGAAGTTTCTGTGTGTTTTAATAAATTATTTTCTGGGATTCTTTGGAAATATTCATGCAAAACAACCTTTTTTTTTTAATCAGGCAAATCAGAAGCATGAATATGTTACTTCTTTTTCACCAGTATGGATGTATATGCAGTTGTTGATGAAATTAGAATGGAGGGGAGGGTGTGGCCCAAATATATATATGTTTTGTATATTTCCCTTCCCTTCAAGAAGGACAAAAACAAACAAACCTGGAAGACCTGTCTATATTTTGCATAGTAAACTAATGTCATTATTGCACCAGGAGTTATTTTTGACTGACCATTGTTAGAATAAGTATATTTTTATCATGTTACCACTTGAAGACTAGCTGTCACCATTGTTACGATATATGTTTTCTTACCTAAAGGCGCTCTGAATATTTTGAGGGAAATAAAGGAGCCAGAGCCTCTGCTTAGAGGGGCTGATTTGTTATTTTTGTTACACTGCAAGATGTTCGTATTCTCTATGTTTAATCAATTTAGGGCCTACTAAAGAGAACAAAGCCATGCGTAAAGCAGCAGAGGAAAGTGGTCCCACCCTTCCTGGGTTAGGAAGTCATCTGGATATAACATTGGTACAATCACAGAATCACAGAATGGTAGGGGTTGGAAGGGACCTCTGTGGGTCATGTGGTCCAACCCTCCTGCCGAAGCAGGGTCACCTACAGCAAGCTGCACAGGATCTTGTCCAGGCGGGTCTTGAATATCTCCAGAGAAGGAGACTCCACAACCTCCCTGGGCAGCCTGTTGCAGTGCTCCGTCACCCTCAGAGGGAAGAAGTTCTTCCTCATGTTCAGACGGAACTTCCT